AACTCCGTCTCTACTAAAAATACAAAACATTAGCAGAGCATGGTGGGAAGCACCTACATGCGAGGCTGAGGCAGGAGAATCACTTGAACCCGGGAGGCAGAGGTTGCAGTGAGCCGAGATCGTGCCATTGCACTCTGGCCTAGGCAACAAGAGTGAGACTCTGTCTCAAAAAAAAAAAAGAAAGAAAAAGAAAAGAAAATCCACTTAACTTTCTCTAGTTAAAAAATAAAATAAAATCTCTGTCTACTGAAATGCTTAGAAGCAATAATCTCTCAGTAACAACAAATACATGCAGTGACCCAATCCTGCTTCTAAATACCATCTTCTAATAAAAGGAACCAGGGCTCTTTAGAGAAATAACTAATTTTTAGGACAAGAGAAGGGAAAATAAAAAATAACCCAGGGAAATTTGCCAAAACTTGGAAACAACCAAAAGATGTCTTTCAACAGGTGAATTGGTAAATTGTTATATCCAGGCAACAGAATATTATTTAACTCTAAAACAAATGAGCTATCCAGCCACGAAAAGACCTGGAGGAACTTTAAATTCATATCACTAAGTAAAAGAAGCCAATCTAAAAGGGATCTATGCGTATGTTTCCAACCAAATGATATTCTAGAAAAGACTAAACTATGGAGATAGTAAAAAGATCAATGGTTACCAGGGGTTAGGAAGGAAGGATGGCTAAGCAGAGCATAGAGATGTTTTAGGGCAGCAAAAACTATTCTGTATGTTACTATAACGGTGAATATACGTCGTTTGCCCAAAAGCATAGAATGTAGACCACCAGGAGTGAACTCCCATGTAAACTATGGACTTTGGAGCAACAATAATATATCAGGGTAACTTCATTGACTATAAAAATAAAAACAAATAAAGGTGGTGAATGAATGTGAAACAACAACCAAACAAGAGCTGAGGCATCTTGTAGTACTACAGGATAAGTTAAAGTATAGGGGCATGTCAAAAGGACATAAGCATCAATCTGAATGAGTCGCCAATAACAAAAACTAAAATAGTTTTCATCAAAGTAGATAACACAGCAATGAATTATAACCCAAACTATGAAATATAGGAGTCTATTAAGATACAAATGACACAAATAAAAAATAAAGAAGCATAAAGAGACAACAAATTTTCATATACGATTCCAAATATTCTCCCTACTGTTGGTGGTTCTTAACTCCATCTCCCTCTTCCCAAACCCCCATCCCCAGGGAGGGTTGACTAGACTTAGAGACTCACTTTCAAAAATTAGAGTAAGAAAAGGGAAAAAATAGTACATTTTCAGTAAAGAAACTTGGCAAACAGTACTGTATCCAAGTAATGATGGTTACCATCATCATATGGATATCACATATCCACTGATACGATGTGATGGGACAAACCTTCACCTCTGTGGTATTCTTTCAAAATACCCAAATAACCCTATTCTAACCATGAGAAAAATGTCAGAAAAACCCAGATTAGAGTACATTCCACAGATCATAAAAAAGAAAGACTGAGAAACTGTTACAGAATGGAAGATACTGGGGAAACAATGACAACTATGGTACGTGGTACCCCGAACTGAATCCTGGAAAAAGAATATTGATGGAAAAGCTGGTGAAATCCAAATAAAGTCTAGAAATTCAGTAATGGTCATGTTCTAACATTAAATTCTTAGTTTTGATAAATGTATCATGGTCATGGAAGATGTTAACAATGAAGGAAACTGGATGGGAAGTATACGAAACTATGCACTATCTTTTCAACTTTTCTATTTATTAAAAATTATTCTGGCTGGGCGCAGTGGCTCACACCTGTAATCCCAGCACTTTGGGAGGCTGAGGTGGGTAGATCACCTGAGGTCAGGAGTTCGAGACAAGGCTGGCCAACATGGTGAAACCCCATCGCTACTAAAAATACAAAACTAGCTGGGCATGGGGGTGCATGCCTGTAATCCCAGCTACTCGGGAGGCTGAGGCAGGAAAACTGCTTGAACCTGGGAGGTGGAGGTTGCAATGAGCTAAGATTGCATCATTGGACTCCAGCTGGGGAAACAAGAATGAAACTCCATCTCAAAAAAAAAAAAAAAATTATTCCAACACAGAATATTTATTTTTTAAAAAAGCTTTAAAATGGAGCCATAAACCCCCTAAACCAACACAGATATCCTTTTGGAAAATGTTAACTGTCTAAATTTAACTACCATTTTCTCCTTTTAAAAAATCTGTAATACTGTGGTTTCTCTTCAGAATGCATAAATCTTTTGCCTTTTATAAAGTCTGTTAAATGGAATTGAAGAAAAAACAAAGCTGAGGGAAAAAGGACTAAGAATTTCTTATTGGAGAATAAATCATGCTTTAATCAGAAACATTATGTTCTGTATATTAATAGTCCTAAAACTGTGCATATTAAACTAGGAACATTTGACTGACACTAGTAAAAATACTTCATAGCATACTTTAAAAAATACAAAACCTAATATTCTACCAATTTAATCTTCTGTCAAGTTTTTTTTTTTTTTTTTTTTTTTTTGTGAGACGGAGTTTCGCTCCTTGTTACCCAGGCTGGAGTGCAATGGCGCAATCTCGGCTCACCGCAACCTCCGCCTCCTGGGTTCAGGCAATTCTCCTGCCTCAGCCTCCTGAGTAGCTGGGATTACAGGCACGCGCCACCATGCCCGGCTAATTTTTTGTATTTTTAGTAGAGACGGGGTTTCACCATGTTGACCAGGATGGTCTCGATCTCTTGACCTCGTGATCCACCCGCCTCGGCCTCCCAAAGTGCTGGGATTACAGGCTTGAGCCACCGCGCCCGGCCTTCTTCTGTCAAGTTTTACAGAACACTGTGTTCTGTGGTTCACTGTGCTTTACTGGGAAAGACACATATTTAATCCACTACTGGTATTATAATAGAGAAACAAACATTTAAGTTTATGCCTTTCACATGTGACACTTCTGAGGGAGGAGACAACTTGCCTCTAACTTTATAAATAATAGAAATGAATACTAAAAGACTGTTAAGAAAGGTTATCCAAACCTTGAATATAAGGACAAAAGCTGTAGCCTTAAAAAAGTGATATCCTTTCAAGGTATTAGATAATAGGGGGACAAAGACCCATTCAACAGTTACTTAATTACTTAAGGAAAGGGAAATGTACTTGCTCCATTAGTTTATTTAATACTGAATTAAATAACCCATATTAAGTAAACTTACATGCTAATTTACAGATCTTTGCCAGCAGAATTACAAATAATTCTGCCAGGCAGAAAAGATAATCCCAAAGGTTAGGGTATTGGTCTGAAAGACATTAACCAGTTTGCAACTGACCTAGCAATCTTATTCCAATTATTAAAATGTCTATGAATACACAGCTCCTCAAATGCTCTTTGAAATGTCCTCTATTTTACTTGTTTCCTCTGTAATTAATGAACTGATGGAAATCTTTGATAAACATTCATTTTGTATTTGGATAAGTCATGTTTTTAAATTTTTAAAATTATAATTCCATAGGCATAAGAACTTTCCATGACATGCTTGATGTGGCCTTTCCTACAACCAGATCTGCAAATCCTACAATCTCACAGTGTTATTATGATACTTTTTCTGCATAGTATTCTGCTAATATTATCATTTGGTTATTAAACTATCAAATAACATATTTTTGTTTCAAACATAAATCAGAAAATGTTACTTTCAAGACCATCTTTATCCCACCACTGACTTTCCATTCCTGCAGCAAAGTACAAAAGTAAACATGCAAACTATTCTATGACTGTTTGCTTGAGTTTTCTCATCTGTGCATTTTTAAAGCAATAAAAAACACAAAAAGATTCCCTTCATTTCAAGTGAGCGATTTCCTGAAAAGATTTTTTACTAATCCCTATAATGAGAAAATGTTTAAAGAAAAAAATACATAAACAAAACTCTGTACTTGTCGAGTCTGCATTAACAAACTACCCACAGAGGCCAGGCTCAGGGGCTCATGCCTGTAATCCCAGTGCTTTGGGGAGGCTGAGGCAGAAGAATCACTTGAGCCAGCAGTTAGAGACCAGCCTAGGACATGTGGTGAGATCCCATCTCTACAAAAAATTTTAAAAATTAGCTAGGTGTGGTGGCATGTTGCAGGAGTCCCAGTTACTTGGGAGGCCTAAGACAGGACGATCACTTGAGCCTAGGAGTTTAAGACCAGCCTTGGTACACAGCAAGACCCCATCTCTACAAAAAAATGTAAAAAAAGAGCCAGGTTTAGTGGTACATACCTGAAGTCCCAGCTACTCAGGAGGCTAAGGCAGGAGAATCATTTGAGCCCAGGCATTTTAGGCTAGAGTGAGCTATGATTGTGCAACTGTATACTCTAGCCTGGGCAATAAAGCAAGATCCCACCTCTAAAAAAAATAAAAACATGTTGGAAAAAAAAAAGAAATTACCCACAGAATTATAGAACAGGATTTAGACAGGACTTTAAAGATCTTATTGCTCAATCCCATTTTAAAGAAAAGTTAGCTCCAAGGAATACAGTGACTTTCCAGAGGTCTGACAGTTGCTAAAATTCATTTGATCTGACTTTAAAGATGTAATTTGTTGTACACCTCTCAAAATCTAGACATGAGTTACTTTTATTTAAACCAATTATTGGAAAAAATTTTCCTTCCATCTGTTTTAAATACTACTATTTGTAAAATGAAATCGACTAATAACTGGTTCAGGTAAAAACTATAAATTGCCTTTACTTCCATAAATATGATTAATTACAAGTAAATTCAGATTACATGTTTGAGATTCAACCCAGATTAGTATAAAGAAAAAAATCACAACTCTGTATTTTCAGTGTTACATTGTTCACTAAAAACAAGTCTGTATTATAAGAAACTTGAATATTTTGGAAAATTCAAGTGAACTAATGATAAAAACTATTTTCAACTTTTAGATTTGAGCATGGGAAGGGAAGCACTATTTCACTCTCATCCAAACCATAATATATTAAAGCAAAAGAGAAAGGAATATTTCATACCCTGACATCACTTCTAGATGAAGTTGTCCTGAGACAGTTAAGAAAGCAGGAACATTGAAGAAATTCTCCTCAGGTATTTTTATTTTGCCTGCAGCCTGCAAATCAAAAACACAAACCACAAAAAAAACTATTACATGTTTTGTTTTGCTTTTCACATTCATATACATGCCCCAACTAAAAATTAACACAATTAAATCTATGTGAAGACAGGTTGTTCTCATGAAAATAAAGGTAGTTACACACCTAAGAGAAAACCTTGGAAAGTGCTAATAAGGGCAAGGAAGTTTGCTCCATATTTGCAAAACATACAATACCCAAAGGATGAAGTACCTTTGTTGCAAAATACACTTCCCCGTAAAAAGCGATTTTGATTAAGGGGCAAGCTAAGGCAAGAGATTATGAATTAACAAAACAAAAAAATAGAAAATTTAAAAAAAAGGGAGAGAGATTATGAATTAATTTTTATATTATTATTATTTTTTTTTTTTGAGGCGGAGTTTCACTCTTGTTACCCAGGCTATAGTGCAATGGCGTGATCTCGGCTCACCGCAACCTCCGCCTCCTGGGTTCAGGCAATTCTCCTGCCTCAGCCTCCTGAGTAGCTGGGATTACAGGCACGCGCCACCATGTCCAGCTAATTTTTTGTATTTTTAGTAGAGACGGGTTTCACCATGTTGACCAGGATGGTCTCGATCTCTTGACCTCGTGATCCACGCGCCTCAGCCTCCCAAAGTGCTGGGATTACAGGCTTCAGCCACCGCGCCGGCCATGAATTAATTTTTAATGTGAAGAATTACATAATCTCAAAATGTTGACTTATGATTGAGACTTAATTACCTCAAGGGAATTGTCTCTGGAACATGTGATGTCATATTTATTATTAAAATATTAACAGTAATGCTTTTAACACAGATTTTCATAAACACATACGCTTTCAAAAATACTATTTAATTGTCACTGTAACTCAGTGGCAGGAAAAGCACAACTCTATCTTTAAAAGATACACTTACAATACAGAAAGGGTGATTATTCCATTTGAAATGTGTAGGAAATAAGCCAGTCAGTATTTGTTAAGAGTTAAGCTAAAAAAACTACCTGGAGGCCAAACACAATTTAAACAGTGTAATAAAGAAAGCTTCTGAATCAAGTTATGAGTATCATATCCTCTTCTGGGAAAGAAAGTTACTCTTGTTTTTGTTGTTTAAAACAGGGTCTCACTATGTTGCCCAGACTAGTCTCTTATCTCCTGGGATCAAGCAATCCTCCCACTACAGCCTCCCAAAGTACTGGGATTATAGGCATGAGTCCCTGAGTCCAGCTTCTTGTATTTTAAACTATGCAGTTATTCGAAAATCTTTTAGTATAAGGGTGTATGTAGTCACTGTAAAAGCAATAAAGCCAACTTATGTAATGGAGAATGTAAGACTCTTTTAACAGACTAAGTGCCAAATATTAAATTATGGTAACACATGAAATAAAGTTATCTTATTTAATTTCATTGGTTGTCCTAAAAATATTGCATATCATATTTAGGTGTCTGTGCATATATATGAAATGTATTGTAAAAATTATCAGTTGAATATTTTTGTAGTAACTGCCTATTTTTTTTCAAACTTACTTTGATACTAGTCAGAGATAAATGAATGATTTTTTTTTAATTAAAAAGTCCATCTTCGAATCTCATAACCAATGAAAGTGTATTGTTTGCAAAGATATTTACTACTCAAGACTAAATAATAGACCTGATATACGTTAGAATTTTAGATTTTTTTTTTTTTTTCGAGATGGAGTTTCGCTCTTGTTACCCAGGCTGGAGTGCAATGGCGCGATCTCGGCTCACCGCAATCTCTGCCTCCTGGGTTCAGGCAATTCTCCTGCCTCAGCCTCCTGAGTAGCTAGGATAACAGGCACGCGCCACCACGCCCAGCTAATTTTTTGTATTTTTAGTAGAGACGGCGTTTCACCATGTTGACCGGGATGGTCTCGATCTCTCAACCTCGTGATCCACCCGTCTCGGCCTCCCAAAGTGCTGGGATTACAGGCTTGAGCCACCACGCCCGGCCTACGTTAGAATTTTAAAACAAAAGATCTGTTCTCTGATATTTCTTCATTATTTACTGAAAAATCACTTTCTCAAATAAGGTCCAACAGATTTATAAGACTACCATACTTTCTCCTTTCCTTTACCACTTTAGTCTATAATTGTATTAATTTAACTTTACTTCAAATTGTTTCTCTCATTCCTAGTAGTTAAAAAAAAAAAACTGGTCCTTATGACAAGTATGTATGTATGTATGTATGTACGTACGTACGTATGTATGTATTTGAGAGTCTCACACTGTTGCCCAGGCTGGAGTGCAGTGGTGTAATCTTGACTCACTACAACCTCCACCTCCTGGGTTTAAGTGATTCTCCTGCCTCAGCCTCCACAGTAGCTGGGATTACAGGCACCCACCAACATGTCCAGCAAATATTTGCATTTTTAGTAGAGACAGGATTTCACCATGTTGCTGGGCATGTTGGTGCCTCCCAAAGTGCTTGGATTACAAGCATGAGCCACTAGGTCCGGCCTATGACTAGAGTTTAGACTTTCATTTACCAGCACTTTTATAGAATGGATTCTGATTTTTCTTACATTTCTTTAATCCAACTTATTTAAAACATACTACTACTTCATTATGCTTTCCAATGTCATGTTATCGTTTACATAACTGTAATTCATACTACTTTACTATAATTTCTTTTATATTACAATCAAAGCATTATACTGATTTTTTTAAACTTCTCTGTGTATTGTTATATTATTTATATATTTTATTTCAGAATATTAAAGAGTGTATATAAAACATTCTTTGTAAAAAGTAATTATGAAAAGTGGTAAACAAAAATGGCAGGGTAGGTGGCTCCAAAAGACTGTCCCGCCACAGAAAAATAAAGGAAAAAAATGAGCAAAACTGTCAGAATCAACTGTGGGAATTCTGGAGGAGAGTTAAAGGTTTATAGCAATCAAGCAAATGCTGAATCAAGAAAAAGGCAAATTTAAAATGGTAGACTCCACGCAACAGCAACAAAATACACGTTTTTTCAAGCGCACATGGATCACTCTCCAGGGTAGACCATATAGTATAGGCCATAAAACAGTTTTAATAAATCTTAAAATACTAACATCGCAGAAGGTATCTTCTTTGATGCCTATGAAATCAAACTAGAAATGTACAAAAAGGGGTTGTGGTTACTAGAAAAAAAGAGTTTGGTGGTTCCTTAAAAAGTTAAAATTGAATTAACTAAACGACACAGTAATTCCACTCCTAGGTATATACCAAAAAGAATTAAAATGAGGTATATAAACAAATACTTGTACACAACTGTTCAAAACAGCACTATTCACAATAGCCAAAAGGTAGAAGTAACCTAAATATCCATCAATGGAAAAATGAGTAAACAAAATATGATATATATACACACACACACAATAGAATATCATTCAGCTATAAGGACTGTATGTACCTATATATTTTTTTAATTAAATGTTTTAGCATGTACTTACATATGTTAAAACACAGATGAACATTGAAAACATGCTAAGTGAAAGCACATAGACCTAAAAGGCTATGTATGATTACATTTATACGAAATACCCAGAATACTCAAATCCACAGAGGCAGATTGATGACAGTATGGTTTGAGCGGAGGGGAAAATGGGATGTAACTACGAAATGGGCACAGGGTTTTCTTCTGGGATGTTGAAAATGTTTTGGAACTTAACAGAGGTGGCAGTCATACAATACTATGAATATACTAAATGCCACTGAAATATACCTTTTAAAATGGTTAATTTTATGACATAAATTTCACCTCAATTCTTGAAAGTAATTATTGAATCTTAGTAATTTCAAAAAACTACCACCCTAGGATTGCAAATTTAAGATTTAGGATTGTAATCTTAAATTTGTGATCTTAAGTACTTATGTTAGTGATAGAGAAACAATAAAATATATGAATTAAACACCCAACTTTGTAACTTTATCAGTGGGGAAGGATTTCTTCAACAAGAGCTCCAAATTGCCAGTGATAAAAGGAAAAACTGATGAATTTATGTGTGTTAAAATTAAGAATTTCTATTTAATAAAGGAAGATATAGGCAAAGTTAACAGACAAATGACAGAGTAAGAGCAAAATATTTACAACATCTAAAAATGCCAGGTGATTAATAGACTATATAAAGAGCTCCTGCCAAGAAAACAAAAAAGAGAAAATAATCTGCTTCCCAATTGAGAAAGAAGATATACAGAAATGAAGACTCAAATGGCTAATGTGAAAATAATTTAAATGAAAGCTAGCTACTGAAACTTTAAATTACTCTGAGTCTTGAATGAAATGTGATTGATTGTAAGACCTACACCATGTGGCAAGCCACTGAAACTTTTATTTCTTTGAACTATAGATTAACCCTCTTTCTTATTTTTCTTGCCCTGTAAAATGCTGTGAAAGATTAAATGGTGCCCCTTCCCTCTTAGTTACTAGTTCTTTGTTATAGATTAATGTCCTGCCTTTTTCATGTACCCAGCTCAAACCAGACAGAAAAGGCCCCACAATTACCAAATTGATCGAGATACAATTTTAAATACATCTTTTCTGAAAAAGAACAAGCTGTAACCAACCAAACTGTTTTAACTCATAAATCAGCATTGTATTAAAAATGTGGTAATACTCCTAAACATCTTTGCTTCTACTTATATAAGCGAAGCCTTAGCTTCTCCATTTTGGAGCACAGACCCAATTACTTTGGAGTCTGTTTTTTCTGGGTAGCTATTCTCAAATTTTGCACTTGAATAAACTCTTTTAAAATTGGATTCTGGAACTAGTAATTGTTTCAGGGTGACATTTTGGCGACCCAGGTGGGACCCAAATTAGGCCTCCATTGACCCCTGTGGTTTTACCAACAGTTGGAGCCCTGGCACCAGCACGAACTGTTGGCATCCAACTGACCTCTCTCAAGACTGCAGAAGCCCTTGGAAGACCACTCTCAGGTTTGAATCTCCCTGGTGTGACTGAGATTCAGACTTTATGCGACCTGGTTAAACAACTGAGGAAACAGGAATTGAAGCACTACTTCTAGGTAGGAGTTTTGTTTTTCTCTTACTCTATTATTTTTATTTGTGATTTTTTCACTTTTCTCTGATTTTGCTTGTCTTACTAGAGTTTGTAACCTTTTCTCTCATTTGAAATTTTATCACGGAGAAAGCTGTTTGTCTTTGAAAAGAGGAACTGAATGCCTACAGCTTAGGCAAATTTTCTTAAACTGGCCAGATCTAAAGCTCCATCCTATTTGGCACATTAAAAATTCTCTTTTGGGTGACCAAAATTCATAAAACACTTTATGAGCACAAGATAAGTCCCACAGACAAAGGGAACTGTTCCTCCCGGTTGAAAAGCATCTTAGGCAACTAAGATCTCCCAGGAGTGTCAGAGCACATCACTTGTGACATATAACAGTCCCACAGGATTTGGACAAATACATACTGACATGTATCTGCCACTACAGTATCATACAGGATAGTTTGACTGCCCTAAAAATATGTGTTCCACCTAGTCATCCCTCTTTCCCCCAACCGCTAGCAACCACTGATCTTTTTACTTTCTCCATAGTTTTATCTTTTCTATAGTTTAAATCATACAACATGTAGCATTTTTAGATTGGTCTCTTTAACTCAGTAATATGCATTTAAAGTTTTTCCACGTCTTTTCATAGCTTGATAGCTCATTTCTTTTCAGCGCTGAAAAATATTTTATTGTCTGGATTTAACAGATATGGTTTATTTCCCCATCTACCTACTAAAGGGCATCTTGGTTAATTCCAAGTTTTGGCAATTTTGAATAAAGCTGCTTTAAAAACATTCACATGCAGGTTTTTGTGTGGATATCTTTTCCACTCCTTGGGGTAAATACCAAGGAACAAAATTGCTGGTTCTGGGTTAGAGCATATCTAGTTTTGCAAGATGCTACTAAACTATACTGCAAAGTGGCTGTTAAATCTCACCAGCAATAAATGAGAGTTCCTGCCGCTCCACATGCTTGCTAGCATTTGGTGTTGTCAGTGTTCTGGATTTAGACTACTCTAGTGGTACTGACTGGCTTTTTAGTATGCTTTGTGCATCATTTTCTATGGATCACATGGTTCATATACTCCTACCCTCAGCCATTACACTGAGTAGCAGTTACATTTTTTTAGGAATCTATACGCCAGAATTTCTTGCAATGTTAGTATACCTCAAAAAGTAAAAAACATGGGGAAAGTTCTGTAAGTTTCTTCAGGCTGTTGACGGACTGACTGATAATGAGTGAATGAATAAACTGGAACTTTGTCAGTGCAACCTCCTCCAGATATAATCACGAATTCTCAAAACTCTTAAAATCAAAGATTCAAATTAAATATTTTTTGTTTCACAGTGTTAACCCATGAAATTAAGAAATACTGGGGCTCCTCAAGGACACTATCTCTATTATTGGATCCTGCATTTAGCCTATTACCTGGGAATAGAGTTACAGATGTAAGTATTTGTTCGACTGAAAAATGAATTGAAATAGGAGCTGGAAATATGGGAGATACCTAAAATTGGGACAGGACACAAATTTCTCAATAGAAAGAGCATGGAAAAAAATCTCCATTCATGTTAATCCCAAGGAATACAGCAATAAAAGAAATGTTTGAATAACCAAACATTAAAACGTAAGCCTCTAAATTAATATAGTATATTAGTGGTAGACAAACATGTGGGATATAACTGAAAGTCTCAACAAACTTTCACATATAAAAGTATTATCTCAAATCAGTGAGGCAAAGCTGAAATTTTTATTAAGTAGAACTAGGTCAGGTGGATAGCCATATAATTGTATCAACCAGAAATAAACTGCAGAATTCTTCCGTACATTGGGGCAGATAGTGTGATGTGACTATATTGGTGTCCCCCGCTCCCTTCACCAAGGAATCTCTGCAGAATGTTATGGTAATTTCTATTCTTCCCAGCACCCAAGTCGTCACTTCCAATTCTTGGAATAATGGTACATAAATTCATCTATTTTGATCCCGTCTTCAATATTTTTCTTTCAAATACTTTTTTGAGAGAAATAGTACAACATAAAAGAATATAAAAACATTTTTTTAAAGCACTGCACATTGACATAAAATCTCAGAATCAGAATTCTTATTCACTGTGAAAAATATTTCTGAACATAAAGCAGCAAGAATACTTTATCTCACTCCTTGTTTCATACTTATTTATTTTTGTCATTATGGTGTTTTGATAATGCAACAAGGATTTTAATTTTTCCTTTTAGTTTATCATGTTTTCTTTAAGATATTGCAGAAATATTCAAAGATCCAGAAAGTTCATTTTTAAGCTGGTTATTTTGCATCTTAGAACTCATTTTCCCTTAAAGAAATACATACAATAATTATATTCACAGAGCAGCCAAAGTACTCTATATAATGAATAATATACATAAAATACAGTCATGTACTACATATTGACATTTTCTTCAACAATGGACCGTAGATATGATGCATCCCCTAAGATTTTAATGGAGCTGAAAAATACCTTTTTCCTAGTGATGTCCCAGACCAAGGCATTACTCACCTATTTGTGGTGATGCTAGTGTAAACCCAGTTATATAATGACAATACACAACTATATTACTGACTTACATATTTATCATACTATACTTTTTATCATTACTTTAGAGTGTACTCCTTCTACTTACTAAAAAAAAAGTTAACTGTAAAACAGGCTCAGGCAAATCTTTCAGGAGGTATTCTAGAAGGCATCGTCATCATAAGAGACCATGTGTGTTACTGCCCCTGAAGACCTTCCAGTGGGATAAGATATAGAGGTAGAAGACAGTGATATTGATGATGCTACCCCTGTGTATGCCTAGGCTAATGTATTTTTATGTCTTAGTTTTAACAAAAAAGTGTAAACAGTAAAAAATAAATCTCTAATAGAAGAAAGCTTATAGAATAAGGAAAGAAAACATTTTTGTACACTCACTGTGTGCTTTAATCTAAGTATTATTATGAAAGAGTCAAAACATTTTTAAAAATTAAGTTTAAAAAGTAAAAAAAGAGTACACCAAGATAATCTATTATGAATTAATTATTGAAGAAATTTTTAAAAATAAATTTAGTGTGGCCCAAGTATATATGTCTGTAAAGTCTACAGTATTGCCTTCCTATTCACTCATCACTCACTCACTGACTCACCCAGAGCAGCTTCCAGTCTTGCAATGTCCATTCACGGTAAGTGCCCTATATAGGTGTACCATTAAAAAAAAAAAAATCTTTATACTGAATTTTTTTTGGTACCATTTCTATGTTAGGTATGTTTAGATATACAAATACCATTTTATTTCAGTTGCCTATAGTATTCAGTACAGTAATATGCTGAATAGGTTTGTACCTTAGGAACAAGAGACTATACCACACAGCCCAAGTGGTAGGCTATTCCATATAGGTTTGTGGAACACTCTACGATGGTTGCACAATGATGAAATCAACTAAGGATGCATTTCTCAGAATGCATTTCCATCATTAAGTCATACGTGACCATATATGGAGAGAGAGGCAGACAGAGAGTGTGTGTTGAATCATGATATACAAAAATGTGCATGTGGATACAAATGAATGAATGAGTGCCTGGATTCATTTCTATAAATCTCAGTAAATATGACAAAGAGGGAGATAAAGTCCTCAGACAGAGTACAGAAAGCAGAGGAGGTGGCTTGTATTCAGGTAGGGTACAACTTGATCTTTACTCTGGCTTTTCTGCTGAGACTCAGAAACAGAATTTTTACAGTTTGAAAATGTGTTTAGAAGTTTCAGAATAAGATGATAAACCCAAAAATTTGAGGGGCCAGGTATGGTGGCTCACACCTGTAATCCCAGCACTTTGGGAGGCCAAGGTGAGAGAAGTGATTGAGTCCAGCAGCTTGAGACCAGTTCTGTGCAACACAGTGAGAGCTCCATGTCTAAAAAATACAATCTAAAAATTAGCCGTGCATGGTGGCATGTGCCTGTAGTCCCAGCTACTAGAGAGGCTGAGGTAGGAGGACTGATTGAGCACAGAAGTTCAAGGCAGCAGCAAGCCATGATTACACTACTGCACTGCAGCCTTGGCAACAAAGTAAAATCTTGTCCCTAATACGTATGCACACAAATACGTACGTACATACATACATACATACCGAGGAAGAATTCCGACTTAATCATCACATTATTCAAAACATTCCTTAAGTAGGCACAATAGTCTCCCCCTATCCATAGTTTTACTTTTCATGGTTACTTTTCATGCAGTCGCCTGTAGTCAACTGTAGTCTGGAAATATTAAATGGAAAATTCCAGAAATAAAGAATTCTTAAGTTTGGTGTTTGCATTTTGGTTTTTTTTTTGTTGTTTTTTTTTTAATTTTTTTTTGGAGATGGAGTCTCCCTCTGTGACCCAGGCTGGAATGTAGTGGCCTGATCTCGGCTAAGTGCAACCTCTGCCTCCCGGGTTCAAGGGACTACAGGTGAGTGCCATCATGCCTGGCTAATTTTTGTATTTTTAGTACAGACAGGGTTTCACCATATTGGTCAGGCTGGTCTCAAACTCCTGATCTTGTGATCCACCTGCCTTGGCCTCCCAAAGTGCTTGGATTACAGGCATAAGCTACCACACCCGGCCAGAATTCATAAGTTTTAAACTGCATTGATTGAGCTGCATGATGAAATCTCAGGCTGTCCCGCTCCATCCTGCCCTGGACATGAATCATTCCTTTGTCTAGGGTATCCATGCTTTGTATGCTACCAACCTTTTTTTTGTTGTTTCTGAGATGGAGCTTTGCTCTTGTTGCCCAGGCTGGAGTGCAATAGCGTGATCTCGGCTCACGGCAACCTCCGTGCCTCCTGGGTTCAAGTGGTTGTCTTGCCTCAGACTCCTGAGCAGCTGGGATTACAGGCATGCGCCATCACACCTGGCTAATTTTGTATTTTTAGTAGAGAAAGGGGGTTTCTCCATGTTGGTCAGGCTGGTCTCAAACTCCCAACCTCAGGTGATCCTCCCACCTCAGCCTTCCAAAGTGCTGGAATTACAGGTGTGAGCCACCGCGCCTGGCGTATGCTAGCAGTCATTTAGCAGTAGTCTTGGCTACCTGGTCCATTTATGTCACACTGCCTATGTCATTCACCTCACAGTAGTTTAGGACCACAGCACAGTACATTCTCCTCAAATCCATGAGGCCTTCTTACTACTAATAGCCATTCTCTGACCCCTACTCCATGCCTAGGCTAGTAAAAATGACCCTTCTCTGCATTTCCATAATAAGTCTGTATATACACCTCATTCATTCATCTAATCACTGTGCAAGACTGTGGAGAGAGAGCAAACAAAATGAACATGTAAAGTAATAAAGAAGCAAGATAACTACAAGCTGAGATAAGTAAGTTGGGTACTGAGGGGTGGGGAAGACTCTTAAGCAGTAAAAAGCAAGCGGACACCTGAAAGATTAAGAATGTATTTGCTATACTATAAACTGGGAAAAATACTCCAGGAAAAAGGAACAGCCAATAGAGAGACCAGTGGGTGGGAAGGGGGTGTCATATCTTAGGGGACCAGAAGGCAGGTCACTGTAGCTTGAGGGACTCAAGAGTAAGACTGTTAAAAAACAAGGCTGGAGAAACAGGCAGAAATCTACTAATGTCTTAGTGGAGAATAGATAATAAAGGGATAAGAGTAGAAGTAGGGGCACCAATCAGAAAACAAGAGTACTGGTAACACTGGAAACAGAGAAATGGAGAGGTTGAGGATTTATGTTAAAGATGAGTCAACAAAATGTACTGATAAATTAGATGTGAGGTTGGGGGGAACAGGTAGGGGAAGTATGAATTACGTCTGACATCTAGATTTTTTATTTAAGCAAATGAGTAGATGGTAACTTTCACTGAGATACAAAGAAGAGGAAGAGGCTTTGGGAGGAAGAAATCAAGAGTTTTATTTAATGCATACTATGTTTGAATGCATATTAGACATCAAAGGAGAAATGTCAAATAGATGTTTCTATAAATCTGGAGCTCAGAAACAGAAGCTGAGACTGGAGATAAACAGTTGTGCAGTATGTAGATGGTATGCTACACAAAGCCTTGGAACCCGAATAAAATCACCAGGGGAGAGATTATAGATTAGTGCTTCTCACTGATGATGATAGTGTTCCCTAGAAAATAATTCAGGAATTTGTAGAAGCATTTGTGGGCAGAAGTCAAACACGTCCTGTGATATGTACAAAGTCCTGCATAACTACGACTTCACCTGCAATCTCCCAAGTTCCCAATGTTCTGAGGCATTCATATAGTGTATCAACAAGACCAAATAGATTTGAGCTACCTGATAAAAAAAAGTCATTACTTTTATCTATCTTCTATATTTCGTCTTGGTGTAAGATTTTGTTTGAAAATCACTTTTGAGTAAAACTGTTTGAAAATCAATATAATGGATGATTAGTCCCTCCCATCCCACTAGTCTATGATCAACTAACCTTTCCCTGATCATATAAAACTTATGTTAGTGCAATACAACTTAACCTAGCCTTTCTCTATTATGTACAACAAAAAGTTTTTGCTAGCTTATTCTGCCATTGGAAGTAAATAGCAGAGCCAAGAAAGGGGAAACCAAGAGCTATCAAAACAAATTTTTTTAACGTGTGTATCCCAGTGAATTTCATATCACAAGGATCTAAAGTCCTCCCTGTTTCTTTGAGGATTTCCAAGAAAATATTAAACAAATATTTTGAATTGCTCTCCAGGTATTTGTTCTCATAGCAGAACAAATTTAGCTGAGCAGTTTCACAATCTCAGGAGAATTAAACAGAAAAGCCCACACAAATCTGACTCTGTCTCCATGTAAAATATATAGCAAGGAGGGAAGAGTAAACAGCAGTTAGCTGAACAATGGAAAGGAATATAATCAACAATGGAAAACTTATTTGACCTCCACAATCACTGAAGCACCCAATCTATTTTTATTTCCTTTGACTTTTTCCATTTTCTACTTTGTTACCACACCCCCACCTTTTACCCAGTTCTATGTACTCATAATCCCAGAGACAAAAAGTCGGGAAGAGAAAACATAAAAGATGAAGCATGATACAGAAATCTAAAAGGTTTAAAATCATAATGGCATGCTATTTACCTCAATCTGCAATTTCCTTTGTAGATCATGAAGGAAAGGGAGAGTGTCTACTATCTGTAAGCTCCACATAACCACTGAATATCCTATTTTCTTTTTTGATCCCCATTAAAGGATTAAAGGGAGGCTATGCCTTTTATGATACAGATAGTAAAGGATAAAAAAATTTAAGTTAGATAAAACTTATTTCCGCTAGCTGGTGCCTATAATCCCAGCACTTTGGGAGGCTGAGGAGGGCGGATCACCTGAGGTCAGGAGTTCAAGGCCAGCCTGGTCAACATGGTGACACCCCATTTCTACTAAAAATACAAAAATTAGCTGGGCGTGGTGGCGCGTGCCTGTAGTCCTAGCTACTTGGGAGGCTGAGCCAGGAGAATGACTTGAACCCAGGAGGCAGAGGTTGCAGTGAGCTGAGATCATGCCACTGTACTCCATCCTGGGTGACAAGAGCAAAACTCCATTTCAAAACAAAACAAAACACTTTAATGCAAATTCCTTCTTGTAAAAGATGCTAAGCTTAAAAGTGTTAAATGTCAAATGTTAGGATAAATGTTATCTACAACTACTTTTTGGTAAGATGAGTTGTAGAATCCAAGTTTCTCAGCTTCTAGTACAATCATCTTTCCAATAAGTCATGTCATTCTTATTTTTCTGTTCTTTTTTTTTGGAGATAAGGTCTTGCTATGTTGCCCAGCCTGATCTTGAACTCCTGGGCTCAAGTGATCCTCTCACCTCTGCCTGTCAATGGAACCACAGGCACATATCATTGTGCCCAGCTCTCCTACTTTTTTATCCTGTAGTGTTGAAATAAAGCTTTGGATTAAAATGCTTTTAATATTAGTCTCTCCCAAGTATGAAAATCTGACCATATAAAATAAAATAAGCAAGGTGTGGTGGAGGGTTCCAATAATCACAGCTACTTGGGAAGCTGAGGCAGGAGGATCACTTGAGTCCAGGGGTTTGAGGTCGAGTTATAATCATACCACTGCTCTCCAGCATAGGTGAGAGTAAGACTCTACTTCTAAAATCAATCAACCAACCAACTAATCAATCATAGGAACTAAATCTGTCATACAGTCGAAAATTTGTGGGCTGGTAGTTCTATGAAGTCTACCAAGCTATATCTCAAAAGCAGTTGCCATCATTGCTGTAGAAATTGTTCTGCATGCCATCAGACTGCATCTCATTCGTAAAAACTAAACCCAAGGGAAACAGGCTCGATAAACTGCATTCTACTTTGCTGCTTATGCTAGTTTCAGGACTTTCCTGTTAACAAGTTGTATATGTAGGTCTCTTTCACTGATCTAACAATTTCCAGTAAGTCCAGTTTATGTTTCCATACTTTCTACTTGCCATAAATGTGTATCTTGGTGTACACAGAACTGCTAGTATAAAAATAATCTTTCTTAAAATAAAGGTTCATTTACATTCCAGAACACCCACTAACTAGAACACCCACTCAGCCCTGAGAAAGGTTTCATTTTAGCAACTATTTGATCAGCAAGAAAGGAAGTTATTAACTCAGACTGTTTGTAAACAGTCTGCTTTCCTGCTGAGCAGTCTGAGAAAGAGAGAAAGAATCAAGAAAAGAAGCCTGAAGTCTTTAATATCAGAAGGTAAGGTTGCAAAACAGAAAGTGAATACACAATGTTGCCTTATTTTTCTTTTTCGGGAGTGAAACACAATGTAAAACTGCAAAAAACCAAACTTATTATTCCTAAATGTGAAGGGGTCAGGTCAGTGAAAAAAAAGTACCAAATGTTTTTTTCACTATTGCTTGAAAAATATTAATTTTGGCTTATTCACTGTCAGACTGGGGTTTTAAAGATGAATATGATAAGATATGGTCCTAGTCCATTAACTATCTCCTCATTTCATTTTTCAGCCCCTTCTGTGAGAAGGGAAACCTATGCTCCAGAGTTAAGTCTCCAAACCACTTATCTACACAAAGGACTTGACTACCACTAAACACAGCAGGTACTCAATAAATACGGATAAATCCCAGTACTTTGGGGGGCGGAGGCGGGAGGATTGCTTGACACCAGGAGTTCAAGATCAGCCTGAGTAACACTGTGAGACCCTGAGACTAATTTAAGTTAAGGCTGCAGAGAGCTATGATTGCATCACTGTACTCGAAATGGGGCGACAGAGTGAGACCTTGTCTCAAAACAAAAAAAAAAACAAAATATGCTTAATTGCAGCTGCTGCAAGGAGGAAACTAAGTTACTGATAAGTGAAACAGAAGGCCTTGGCTGTCCTTCATCTCTGGCTGTGGTAATGAAGAAGAAGTCAGCTGGGTGAGGTGGTGGGTGCCTGTAATCTCAGCTACTCAGGAGGTTGAGGCACAAGAACTGCTTGAACCCAGGTGGCAGAGGCTGCAGTGAGCCAAGATGGCGCTACCGCACTCTAGCCTGGGCAACAGAGCAAGACTCTATCTCAAAAAAAACAAAGAATAAGCCATTGAAAGGTATACTGATATAAAAGTCATGATTTTGATGCTATCCAAAAATTATCCAAAAGAGATTCGCATCATTTTTTGAGATCAAAGTGTCTGTTGAAGTCAACAATGCCATGGAATGCTTCCTTCAAAGATGGCATGCACAAAATAAACGTTTAATTTCCAACAAAAACTAATTTCCCCAAATAATTAGATGGTATTGGCCCTAAAGAGTATAAACGGAAAAAGCTTTTCAGTGTTTATGAAGCTGACATTTTCTACTTATGATTACTTAATTGAATTCCAATGTCCAGACTAGAAACATGAAAGTTCATGGTTTTTTTTTTTAAAAAGAGGAAATTCTACTTTTCTACTTTTAATTAGCAATGGAAATAACCATTTGTAGAAAAAAATAATTCTCTCCGTAATAGAAGTTCAAAACTCTAGCAGAGGTGAACTATTCAACATAACTACTTCTGGGAAAATACACAGCAGGAATAGATATAATAAAAACGAAAAAAAATGGACCCTGGTACCAAGATCCAAGATGCATAAAATACTTTCCAAATATATCCACAATCCAACCACATTTCAGGATCTACAACTTCAACTCCTGCATAAATCACTATCTGCTCACCTAAAATACAGCATTAGACTCTTTTTTTTCTTTCGGGATGGAGTCTCGCACTGTCGCCCAGGCTGTAGTGCAGTGGCGCGATCTCAGCTCACTGGAATCTCTGCCTCCTGGGTTCAAGCAATTCTCCTACCTCAGCCTCCCAAGTAGTTGGGACTACAGGCATGCACCGCCACGCACAGCTGATTTTTTTGGTATTTTTAGTAGATGGGGTTTGACCATGTTGGCCCGGATGGTCTTGGACCTCCTGACCTCGTGACCCACCCACCTCAGCCTCCCAAAGTGCTGGGATTACAGGTGTGAGCCACTGCGCCCGGCCCCCATTAGACTTTTAACTGGTTTCTCTTCTTCTGTACCTCTCCCCAATTGAACCTCCATATAGCAGCCAGAGTGAGCTCAAAAAAGTGTAAGTGATTTGTTATTCTTTTGTTTAGAACTCTCCAAAGACTCACAGCCAACATTCTTATAAATGGCCTAAGAAGTCCTTTACCTGAGGTTCCTATAGGGAATGTTTCTGGTTGTCCTAACTGGGGAAAGCTACTAAAATTTAGTGGGTACCCCCAAGTTTCAAATATACCATGGAACATTCATGTTAGTGAATTAGGTAAACTGTATAATTTTAATATGCTCTGAATTTTCCAGAATGCATCTTCCATGTAAATCAAGGGAAAGCTAATACTTAGATGTGGAACTCTATCAGGAATGAGTAACCAGTTCACAAATTCTCATCATGAATAGCAAACTGTTCATGATATGTGAATCACCAATATAACACACCTGTGTAAGTCCTAATTTATAGCTGTTAAAGTCAGCAGTTCTTTATATCTCCATATAAAGGCTAACTCATATTCTTCTAGATCACAGTATTTACATAATAAAATACAGGAATTACTTTTCTTTTTTATATTATGTTGGAAGCACTATATTTTTCAAATTAAGTGTACAAAAAGTTTATATTATCTATATTTCATTATGCATATTATCTATATTTGGGAAATAAAAAGAGTTGTTGATATATTTGCTTTTTTTTAAACAAGTGTTACACCTCATAAAGATGAACATTACTGCCATATGTAATTTACACTTATTCCCAACCCCTATGTCTAACCTCAGTTCCCACTCATCTTCCTCTTTTGTGAGCTCCATTCATACCTGCCTTCATGATTATTTCTTGAAAACCTAACCTCATTTCCCACTCATATTCCTCTTTTCTATATTCCATCCATACCTGCCTTCCTGATTGTTTCTTGAAAACCTCAGGCTGCTCCAGCCACAGAGGTTTTGTACTTGCTGTTCCTTCTGACTGAAATGTTCTTTCCCAAGTATCAACATTACTTACTCCCATATGTCCGTCATACTTTTTCTTTTCTTTTTTGAGACAGAGTCTTGCTCTGTCACCCAGATTGTAGTATAGCAGCACAATCTCAGCTCACTGCAACTTCTGTCTCCCAGGTTCAAACAATTCTTGTGCCTCACTCTCCCAAGTAGCTGGGATTACAGGTGTGTACCACCATGGCCAGCTAATTTTTATATTTTTAGTAGAGACAGGGTTCTGTCATGTTGGCCAGGCTGGTCTTGACCTCCCAGCCTCAAGTGATCTGCCTACCTCAGCCTCTCAAAGCGCTGGGATTACAGGTGTGAGCCACCGCAACTGGTCCCGTCAAGCTTTTTTAACATCTTCTCAGTAAAGCTTTCCTTGACCACCCAATTTTAACTAGAATCTCTTTCTCCCTAACCTTTTTCCCAATTTACTTTTCTTTGAAATACAAATCACCATTTGTTCTGATTATCTATTGGTGAGTAACAACGCATCCCAAAATTTAGCGGCTTAAAATAATAATCTACTGCTATCTTTCACAATTCTATGGGTTGCCTGCCTTCAGCCGAGTGGTCCTGCATGGAGTCTCTCATGTTGTTACAGTCAAATGGCTGCTGGGACTGGAGTCATCTGAAGGCTAGACTCAACTAGATATACAAGATGGCCTCTTTAAACACAAGTCTGATGCCTTAGCTGGGATGGCTTAAACAGCTTAAGTGTAGCCAGGCATCTCTGTGTTACCATGCAGCCTTCCCACAGAAATAGTTTGAGGTCTCACAGTAGCTAGACCTCTTATACAGATGCTGGCTTCCCTCAGAGCCATTCCAAAGAAATCGAAGACAAGAAAATTTCATTTCCACCATAATCTACTAATTACACAGAACCAGCCCACATTTTAATTGTGGATGAGGACAACAGAAAGATGTGAGTACTGGGAAGCATAGTGCACTAGGGAGCTACCTTTGGACAATTACCACAATGCTTAACATACGCTCTGTTTTACTTTTATATTTATTGTCTCCTCTCCTACAAGGATATACATTCCACAAGGAAAAAGACTTTTGTGTTCACCACTTTCCTCCAGCATATGTCATGTAGTCAATTAACTGGAAAAAGGAATAAATTATTGCACATGGTAAGTGATATACATTGATAATTCACTATATCTCCATGCTTCTCACAGGTCACTCTGCCCCAAACTTACCAACTTATCTTTCTAAAAGGTACCTGGTATGAATCTGGATAATTTTATAAGTAGAAAATGACAAAGTTGGGACAAAAATCAAAGATGGAAATATAAACAAGGATCGTACACATTGCTTTGTCCTGTGGACATCTCTTATCACTCCCATACCTAGTTTCTCCTTGCCAGGAGAAATCTCTCCTAGAGCACTTATAAAAAGTGAAGCACTACTTGATATAACAATTCTGCATAAATTATTCTGTATACTTAACCTTAAAAAGGTAAAAAGCCAATTAAACATTTAATTATTCTGTCTACAATTTCATGTGTTAATCTTACCTTCTAGATAAACACTGTACATTTCTTGGCTGCATATGGTGGCTCATGCCTGTCATCTCAGCGCTTTGGGACTCTGTGGCAGGAGGATCACTTTAGCCCAAAAATTAGAGACCAGCCTGGACAACATAGCAAGACCCTGTCGCCACAAAAAATTTAAAAATTAGCCAGGTGTGGTGGTGCACACCTATAATACCAGCTATCAGCTGCTTGGGAGGCCAAGGTAGGAGAAACACTTGAGCTAAAAGAAAAAAAGAAAAAAGAACTCAGAAACTGTACATTTCTTGAGAACCAGCTCATTTTAATTTAAAAAAACAAATTTTAATTCAAAATTCTCAACACAGGAACCAATGCTAATTTGTACATACTAGCGTGTAACAGGAAAAAAAAATAGCCAATGAATTCTCCATCAGTAAAAGAATAGGTTAAATACATTAAAATACATGTATAAAATGCACTGAAACAGCATGTACTTTTAAAATAATGAGGCAGAATCAGTAAGAGGTACTGATAAATAAACAAAGCAGGCATAGGCCAGGTGTGATGGCTCATGCCTGCAATCCTGGCCCTTTGGGAGGCCAAGGGCATAGGATCACCTGAGGTCAGGAGTTTGAGACCAGACAACATGGCAAAACCCTGTCTCTACTAAAAATACAAAAATTAGCTGGGTATGGTGGCTCACAACTGCAATCCCATCTACTGGGGAGGCTGAGGCAGGAAAATCGCTTGAACCTGGGTAGTGGAGGTTGCAGTGAGCTGAGATTGCACCACTGCACTCCAGCCTGGGCAACAGAGCGAGACTCCATCTCAAAAAAAAAAAAAAAGATTAGAACATTGTGAATAGTAAGCTATCATTTTTGTCATAAATAACTATATGAAAAGATATGGATATCTTTATAGAATAAGCACAGAATACCTCTAGATGAAGACGTAAGAGACAGATAACAAGGACTGCCTACTAGAGAGAGAACTGTGTAACTGGGGAGCCAGGGACGAAAGAGAAACTGACTTTTTACTTCATGCTCTTTTTAAACTTTTAAATTATGTACCTTGTACATATATTATGTTTAAAAAAAAAAAACATAAGCACCGGATGAAAAATGCAAAGAACAGAAAAGTGGGCCCTATGCTCAGAGGCAAAACTTTATTGAGAGTCTCTTATGTATCTTACTGGTATTTTCTAGGGTCAGGCATTTTTCACATGTAGAAACTGAACCTCCTTAAAAGAAATAAACATCCTCAACGGGAAAGAAAATGACTAGTCTTTTTTTTTTTTTTATTTTTTATTTTGGAGATAGAGTCTAACTCTGTCACCCAGGCTGGAGTGCACTGGTGCTGTCACAGCTCACTGCAGCCTTGACCTCCCAGGCTCAAATGACCCTCCCGTCTCAGTCCCCCAAGTAGCTGGAACTAAAGGCACATGCCAACGCACCTGTCTCATTTTTAAATTTTTAGTAGAGACAAGATCTCACTATGTTGCCCAGGCTGATCTGAAGCTCTTGAGCTCAAGCAATCTGCCCAGCTCAACCTCCCAAAGTGCTGGGATTATAGGCATGAGCCACTGTGCCAGGCTGAATATGATTAGTCTTTTTTTTTTTTTATTGCATTTTAGGTTTTGGGGTACATGTGCAGAATACGCAAGATAGTTGCATAGGTACACACGTGGCAGTGTGTTTTGCTGCCTTCCTCCCCTTCACCCACATTTCGCATTTCTCCCCATGCTATCCCTCCCCAGCTCCCCCCCTGCTGTCCCTCCCCTAATCCCCCCAATAGACCCCAGTGTGTTCCCTTCCCTGTGTCTATGTGTTCTCATTGTTCATCACCCACCTATGAGTGAAAATATGCAGTATTTCATTTTCTGTTCTGTGTCAGTTTGCTGAGAATGATGTTCTCCAGATTCATCCATGTCCCTACAAAGGACACGAACTCATCATTTTTGATTGCTGCATAATATTCCATGGTGGATATGTGCCACATTTTCCCAGTCCAGTCTATCATCAATGGGCATTTGGGTTGGTTCCAGGTCTTTGCTATTGTAAACAGTGCTGCAATGAACATTTGTGTGCATGTGTCCTTATAGTAGACCGATTTATAGTCCTTCAGATACATACCCAGTAATGGGATTGCTGGGTCAAATGGAATTTCTATTTCTAGGTCCTTGAGGAATCGCCACACTGTCTTCCACAATGGTTGAACTAATTTACACTCCCACCAGCAGTGTAAAAGTGTTCCTATTTCTCCACATCCTCTCCAGCATCTGTTGTCTCCAGATTTTTTAATGATCGCCATTCTAACTAGCGTGAGATGGTATCATTTGCATCTCTCTAATGACCAGTGATGATGAGCATTTTTTCTTATGTTTGTTGGCCTCATGTATGTCTTCTTTTGTAAAGTGTCTGTTCACATCCTTTGCCCATTTTTGAATGGGCTTGTTTGTTTTTTTCCTGTAAATCTGTTTTAGTTCTTTGTAAATTCTGGATATCAGCCCTTTGTCAGATGGGTAAACTGCAAAAATTTTTTCCCATTCTATTGGTTGCCAATTCACTCTAGTGATTGTTTCTTTTGCCGTGCAGAAGCTGTGGAGTTTCATTAGGTCCCATTTGTCTATTTTGGCTTTTGTTGCCAATGCTTTTGATGTTTTGGTCATGAAGTCCTTGCCTACTCCTATGTCCTGAATGGTTTTGCCTAGACTTTCTTCTAGGATTTTTATGGTGCCAGGTCTTATGTTTAAGTCTTTAATCCATCTGGAGTTAATTTTAGTGTAAGGTGTCAGGAAGGGGTCCAGTTTCTGCTTTCTGCACATGGCTAGCCAGTTTTCCCAACACCATTTATTAAACAGGGAGTCCTTTCCCCATGGCTTGTTTTTGTCAGGTTTATCAAAGATTGTATGGTTGTAGATATGTTGTGTTGCCTCCGATGCCTCTGTTCTGTTCCATTGGTCTATATCTCTGTTTTGGTACCAGTACCATGCTATTTTGATTACTGTAGCCTTGTAGTATAGTTGAAGTCCGGTAGTGTGATGCCTCCCACTGTGTTCTTTTTGCTTAGAATTGACTTGGGTATGCAGGCTCTCTTTTGGTTCCATATGAAGTTCAAGGTGGTTTTTTCTAGTTCTGTGAAGAAAGTCAACGGTAGCTTGATGGGGATAGCGTTGAGTCTGTAAATTACTTTGGGCAGCATGGCCATTTTCATGATACTGATTCTTCCTAACCATGAACATGGAATGTTTCTCCATCTGTTTGTGTTCTCTCTTATTTCGTTGAGCAGTGGTTTGTAGTTTTCCTTGAAGAGGTCCCTTACATTCCTTGTCAGTTGTATTCCTAGGTCTTTTATTCTCTTTGTAGCAATTGTGAATGGCAGTTTGTTCTTGATTTGGCTCTCTTTAAGTCTGTTGTTGGTGTATAGGAATGCTTGTGATTTTTGCACATTGATTTTATATCCTGAGACTTTGCTGAAGTTGCTTATCAGTTTCAGGAGTTTTTGGGCTGAGATGATGGGGTCTTCTAGATATACTATCATGTTGTCTGCAAATAGAGACAATCTGGCTTCCTCCTTTCCTGTTTGAATACCCTCAAGACTGAAAGTTCTACAAAGCTAAAATAGCCCTTAGAAAATAATAATAAGCATTTAAGTATTCCAGGTAGTATGGAGGTTACAGGTCTTCGCTGAAAGGAATTTACAATCTAGACAGGGAACCAAAACTGTTATGCAAGAAACCACTGAAGAACAACCGAAAGTTAAAACAGGGTATAGCAGGCCAGGCATGGTGGTTCATGCCTGCAATTCCAGCATTTTGGGAGGCTGAGATGGGAGGATTGCTTGAGTCCAGGAGTTCGAGACAAGCCTGGGCAGCATAATGACCTTGTCTCTACCAAAAATTAAATTAGCTGGGCGTGGTGTGTGTGCCTGCAGTCCCAGCTATACAGGAAGTTGAGGCTGAAGGATTGCTTAAGCCCAGGAGTTTGAGGTTGCAGTGAGCCATGACAATGCAACTGCACTCCAGCCTGGGTGACAGCAAAACTGTGACTCAAAAACAAAAACAATAAATAAAACCAGGCTATAGCAACTGAATACACGCATAACAGGAGTTGGAACAAGGGAGGTATTAGTGTTAGCTAGAAAAAAGCTGTTCTGAGAAAAGGTTTGACCTGTGTTATCCAACAAACCACCTAAAAAGTTTAAATGAAAATAGGTAAGAGTAATTAAAAAGTGAAACCATCCAGCACAACCAAAATGATGTGTTCCATAAATAACTTAGTCATAACAATTTATAAGCACCAGAATTCCTGAGGTCTAGTAACTCTGTGTTACCATTACTAGAACACACAACAGTGTGGAAAAGAGAAATGCTAGTGCTTACGTCAGCCTGCTTCTGCATACTGTTTTACCTACTTTGGATTAGCAACATGAAGTTTTCATACATGTGATTTCACTTAATCCTTACAACCTATAAGAATTACTGCTGTTCACATTTTACCAGTGAGGAAATTGAGGAGCGTGGTGGTAAAAAGTAACCAAGAGGTGACTAACCTGTTTTTCCTCCTCCCTCCTGACCTGACAGTTGTATGGAGCTCCTCAGACCCATTCCTCAGTGAAACAGTTTAAAGTTATTTAAAAAAAAATTTTTTTTTAATCCAACCATTTAAAGTCTCTAGA